GCAGGAATAAAGCCCTTCTGTTGTCTCTCAGAAATGAAGAGCTGTGACCCTTGCTGCACACAGAGCACAGCAGTCCCTTCACCAGTTCAAAGTACAGGGAAAGCTCTGAAAGAAGGTTTCCACTGGTCCAGAGTGCCAGAGAAATCAAGGTTAACACTGGCAAAAGTCTCCTAGCCTGAACAGTGTGTACTTTTTAAAGTGAAGGAGAAAAAAGCCCCTCAGATTTCTGAAAATGTTTCTATAAACATGTAAAAATGAAAGCAAGTCCTCTTTCTTTGCCCATCAAAATATTACTCTACTCAAAAGGTATTTTCAAACATACTTCACCCAAGCTGGAAATATTTTCAGTGTGCACATACCACTTTTTCCAAAAAGGAAGTTGACAGGAAACTAATCCCTTTCCCTCCCTGATACAGCTGGCTTTCAACTTAAAAATGACAAATTATCCAGAGATTTGCTAGTGACATTGAAACTGTGTAACCAGCCATTAAAAGCAAACAAATCATTCTCTTTGAAGTATCCATTAAAGAAATTAGTACTATACTGAAATGTTTCACCTTCTCTCTATAAATACTGAAATATGGTTCTTGGTTCTGTTGTCCTGTGCAGCCACACTATTTAATATATCTCAGATACATTAACTACAAGTCTGTTTGTAAGCACCTTCCAAACTTGTTTGTAAGAGGAAGTCAGGAATTGTCACTACTTCCTCCTCCTTAGGCTTGGTGGCTTTTTTTACCTTCCTTGCCCTTTGTGAACTATTGTGAAAATTGTGAACTATTTAATAACCCTTCCAGATTGATTATAACCTCACGTTGACATTTTAGTAATGATGCCTTCAATGGATCACTTAACCTTTACATCAACAAAAGGGGTACTGCCCCAATCAGAAAAAGAACTGGCAGGGGGTCTGCCTGAGGTCCTGACTGAAGTCAGGGGTCCCATCTTCATTTTGTCTTCCATGGTTTTTGTCAGACATTAATATGATCCTTGACTGACTGTAAAGCTCGATCTCATTTCGCTTGTAGGCCTATTCCCTGCCACCACATCTGACCTTTGAGGCAGGGAAATACTTCTCTTCCCACAGCCAGTGCTGTGGGTTGCAGGCTCCATCTCCCCCCAGCCAGCAAGCTCTGGGCAGCTGCAGCTTCCTACAAGTTATTCCATGGAAGGGGAAATCCACTGACAAAGAAAAGCAGCCTCCTTTCCGCCTCTTGCTGCCCTGCGTACGTTTGGAGAAGAAAAATATTTCAACCAATGCAACCTGTGTGAAGCTCTGAGGCTGAGAAGATGTGCTGCTTCACCGTGGAGGAACTGCAGAGGAACTGGGGAGCAGGAGGGTGGGATTAGGGTCATCCTGCCCTGCTCTACATTGAAGGACTGTGTGCTAGAAAGGCACCTTTGCTTCCAAACTCAGGATGTGAGCCAGTCCCTGCAGGGTCTGAAGGGCCATTTTTATCTATCCACTTAGTAAAAATACCAAAGCACAAAAATGTCAGGGACTCCACTCCAGGAGTTCTTGCAACAGGAATCACAGTAAGTCCCCACGTCACGGGGGAGCAGTGAGACACCTCCCCAGCACCACTTCACTTCCAGTGGCCACCCGGGACACACTCTCAGATAGATGAGAAATGAAGTATGTGTAGTGCAGCACAAAAATGGAGACTGTAACATCTGACCCAGTCCCAGCTGGAATTAGAAATAATTTCTTAACAAAGGTCTTTGATTGGAAGCATCTGCTACCTACTAGACATGCCCAGTAGAACAGAATTACTGATTCAGTGTTTAAAAAATTCTAGTGGAATTATTTGGTTCATCTCCCTTCAGTGCTCTATGGCATATTACTAAGGGGACAGGCAATATCCTGAATATTCCAAGGGTGTAATCTTAAAGAGAATGCAAAACAGTTGAAATGAACCTTTCATTTTTAGAACTCCCAATTGTTTTATCACACTCCTGTTTCAGCAGAAAACAGACATTCATTATCTGCCAAGCCAGAAAAAGAGAAAGCTTGCTTGCCACTATTTTACAAAGAAGCAGAGAATGGAGAAGCTAAACAGTGAAAACGGAAATGAAATATTTCAAAATAATATATAAAAATATAAATAATGAATAACGAGTGCTGTTAATATGACTTTGCATGAACAAAACCTGAAAACAGAGCCATAGAAAACTTTGTCTTTGTACATCTAAATTAGTCTTTTGAAAGTCAGTACTGACTGACTCAATCTTTTATAAGAAATTGACACAGGAAGTCTCTTCCTGTGTAAACCTCAATTTGTCACACTGTTAAAAAAGCCCCAAACACCACTGTATCCAGGAGGAATAGGGAAGAAGAAGCTGTTGCAGCAACATGGAAACAGACTGAGCACAATACTTTTTAACACATTGCAATGGGTATGTAAACTACTAATGAAAGGTTAATTTTACTTCTTGTAATGACTATAAACCAGTTTTAAATACCAAACATAGATGGATCGGGGGCTATTATTTTATTTTGTGTATTTATGGCTCCAGACTTAGAGTAAGAGCTAAGCCACACGCTGCAAACACTTTGAAATGAGCCCACACCAGCTGCAGTGCTAGATGTGCATGAGGAGGATCTGCTGGCTCCATCAGCAGGGCAGCGAGATCAGGGTCATCCCGCCAACGCTGCACTGACCCCCCTGCACACTGAGCTCTGGGGGCAACAGAACCAAAGCTCACTGCTCCCTCTGAATCAAAGATTAATACCAATGTCCAGGCAGTGGCTGCCAAAAGCTGCTTTTCTAACTCACTTGCCTAGATGTCAAAGCTGAGGAACACGGTGCGTGGCCACGTCTGGGGACAAAAGCAGGATACAACTGATCCAGGCTGGCAAAATGGGAGATAGATGTTGTTGCAAGCTAGGAAAAGGTCATGATTTTTAAAGTTCTTTCCCATTGTTCAGGAGGTAAGTTCATTTCAAGAACTGCCTAGTAAGACAAACCTGTGTCTCCTCCTCCCCTCTGCCTAATGGCCAAAGGTAGCTGTGTGGCTGGCCGTGACCAAAGCAAAACCTTGCCTCTCTGGGCATGTTAGCAGCAGAAACCTGGCAGGTCTGTCCTCCCTCTCTCTTTCTTCATACCTTCAGTTAGTACTTCTGGTCACAAAGGCTGTAATTAGTAACCAGTATGCTAAAACCACTACCATATTTTAAAACAACATATTACTCCAGATCTTAGAATATCTATTATTATTCCCCCTTTTTTTTTTTTTACATTTTTATATTCACACCTTCCTTTTCCTTCAAACCTTGCCAAGCTGTTATCTGAACAAAACCAAAACTAAACACAATAAAGACAACATTTTAAACAATAAAACCTCAACATTTCAGCTTAAAAAGAAAACTGGAGAGAGTACTCAGGACTTAAATTTCAGTAAAGAGCAAACCTCAAGCTTTCTGTGACTTACTCATTCCACTGACAATAATGGAAAAATTATCAGAGAAGCTGCAGGTTTGGATCAATAGGCACAATCTTTTACCTCTCAGAGGGACTATACTATGAAAGAGAGATGATAACCAGAAAAGTAAAAATACCCTTTTTACTGAGGGTACTTTATCTTCAGAGCTACATGCATGTGAAGAGCAAGTATATAACAATAACATGAAATGCAATAAACTATTCAGTGTTCCCACTCGCCCCAGAAATCTCACAGTTTACAAGCAGTGAAGCATCCCAGCGTATTTGTAGGACTAAAATACAAAGATAATGAGACCATATGC